TTGAGGGGGAGACACTCGTAGGCCTCATTGGTAAGCAGGGAGGGGAGGCGTTGGCGTGGGGGGCTGGGGGCAGTTAGGCCTTGACCATTTAGTGTGTGGGTCCAAAAAAGATCCTTTCTTTGGCAGGATCAAATATTGCAGTAATCTATGTTGCCAACGCTTTTTCCGCCTTCAATGATGGAAGGTGTTAGCAGCGGCAAATACAGCCTCTTGTCCGTTCGTGGGCCGAAGGTTGCCACAATTGGACACTGGGCGCTGCGGCGCCGGTGGAAGGCTGAAGAACACCTACCAGAGTTTGGGAAACACACAATTATGTTGCCACTTAGTACGAAAGCATCATATTTCCCACCCCGAACACCCCCCATTTTGTTCTGTTTTTTTTTGCTTCGTGTGTATGTGCTGTTTTTGGCGGTGGCGGTGGCGGTGGTGGTGGCGATGGTGGCGGCGGCGGTGGTGGCGGTGGCGGGGGTGGTGGTGGTGGGGGCTGGGGGTATGATGAACATATCCTTGAAATGCGTCCTACAGCATATGGAAGCCACTCCTGTATACAAATATCCCGGCATAAGGTGGTTGGGCTTTGGGATTTGGGAAACCCAGCTAGGTGCAAAAAGCCAGATGCATCGAGGAAATCCGCAAGTAAGCCACAGAATTGGCCCTGCGCATGGAAGGCGCAGCCTTTCTTGTGTCCCACATGGTGCCTTTGGTTTCGGACAACAAAAGGTTTGGGGGTTCCTTCTCTTGATTCTTTCTTGAATAGTCCACTTTTAGAGGGCCCCTTCATTTTCAGCCCAGAAAACGCTGTGTCTTAGAGGGCAAGTCCTGGTGCCCGTTGTGCGACCGCGCGAGGCGTTTTCTGGGGATCTGGACATGTTCTTGGGCAAGTGCTCCTCGGGACGCCCGGCTTCGTCCGTCAAAAGGGCTTGCGCGCTTGGTACCCTTTTGGGATTGTTTTAAAGAGAAACCAAAGTTTTAACAGGAAACCAAAGGGAGCCCCCTTCCTTTTGGAGACACACTGAGATGGTTCGGGACTGCAGTGGTTGGTACTCGTGGTCCTCGTTTAGTGAGTGATGATCCCCAATTGGTCTTCCTTAGAGCAGCAACCAAGAAGGGCTTTCCCTCTCCTTGGAGAGAAAAGTTGAAAGGTTGAAGGGACCCGGTCCCTGCATTTCCTCGAGGGAAGCGGTGAAAAGGCACTGCGAAGCAGGGGTCCACCTTTTGTAGGTCGAACTGGCCCTGTCAGGACCAATTCAGTCTAACATAACGGCCCAACGGCCGGAAATTTGAAGGGTTTCTGAATTTAGCTGGGATCAACCGTATCAAGCAATACAGTGGGCTGCAATTCCACACCTGACATTTACGGCAAGCGTACCATCCACATCCAACCGCACCAAAAAGAAAAACAACAGACAAATGGTGGAGGGTATCGAACTCAGAGACACCCAGGAGCTTGATACCTGATACCTCTGATACCCTTTTGAGCTTGAAACCAGGGGCGAGAGGATATCATATGCTGATCCAGAGCAAGATCAAGGGGAGCCATTGCAACCTAGTAGTGGCTATTAGCGACGTGAAGGCCATTAACCGCCATACACCCTCCCACGGCTCTGGCTAGCTCCTATTGCACTACTGGAATGCTGAAGCTACTTTGCAAGTAGTTGACTTCAGAATTGGCGAATGCCGGGCAGCGCAGCATAAGGAGGGCTGACCCAAGTCGGTTCATCGTCGGGCGCAGAGGACTAGCCTGCTACTCCTGAGCCGCTGCTCGCCGATCGTCCACGCCTTGAGCGGCATGCAGCTGGGGAAAGTGGCTGAGCAGTGTGCGACGTTGGCGGTGGGCGTTGTCCTCATGACCCGCCGCCGCGGGGGGGGGGGACGGTAAAAAGGGTGGCCCGTTGAGGGTTGCCTTTTCGGGGTTTTATGTTCTTCTCAAAAATGTTGAGCCTCTTCTTCGTTTTAAACAGGGTGTTTTTGGGGACCTGAAATAGCATTTTGTTAGAGTGAGTCAATTGGGTAAATGGGCCCTTGTTTCATTGTTGGGCTGGGGGCCACTGGGGGCCAATGTTTTTTCTCTTTTTTTTCTCCCATTTGAAACTGGTAAGGCTTTAAGTTGTTTTGTTGTCTGGGGTGTTTGGTGGTTCATTTGTTTCACGGGTTGCGGCTACGCCTATCATCAAATTCTCAGTCAAAGGCCAGATCTTTGTTGAATACTTGTCATACGCTTCATTTAGAATTTGATGTTTTGTTCAGGTTATGATCATGCTCAACAACACAGTCCACCTCATCGTATTTGTTCTGGAGGCCATTCCTGTGGCTAGTGTGTGCAGCCGACATGTTTTCACAATCTCTTGCGTTGCTTCATGTTCTTCAACTCTGTTCTTGCTTGTTTTTCAGGCGTCAAAAAGGGAGTGCCGCAGCGTGAGAGGTTCACGGCAATTGAGACGGATTTGACCCACAACTCATTCTACACGACGTTTTAGTTTCCTTTACACACTCAACCTTTGCAAAGCCAGGTAGGTAGACCATCTAACTTTTTGTAGGAAGCTCAAGCTTTTCCACAATCATGGCAAAGAAGCAGCATCGCCGCGCGACTGTTGAGTTGGCGACCCTTGCGCTTGTCAGCGAAATCGGCGGTTTCCGCATGTGCTTGGCGATGCCTTCCCGACCTTCTGCAAGGTGGACGACAGTGGCGAGTCTACAACACGTTTGGACAAAAGACGAGCTTGAAAAGCAGGTGCTGGCCCGCCCACCCGCCTTAGAACAAATACAGCGCGTGGGCGACTACACAGTATCCAAAGAGGAAACGCAGCGTTCAAAGAGGAGGGTGAGTTTCAGAGAAATTTTGGGACGCCTGGATTCAATTGGAAGAAGGAAAAGAAAAACAAGGATCCACCAAAGACAGACGTCTTGATTGAATCTGATCTGTACATCAGTTCGGAGCTCATGCTGGCAGCAGAAACACCAAGTAGTGTGTGTGCAAGGCTCTGGCAGATTGAGAGAGCTCTCAAATTTGGCCCCAATGGCATCTCCCACCCAGACGTTTGCGCAGTTTGCATCAATTGGGGAGCAAGGACAGTTCGATATGGCGACAAGTGCAGCAAAGGCTGCGTTGAAGAAGATGGGCCCACAGGTCTTGCTCAAACGATTCCCAGTCTTTGCAGTTTGGACAGCCTATCGCAACATATACGCAGTGCTCCGCACAGTCAACGAGAAGATCGACGATGTGAAGAAACAGATGAAGAACGAGATCGACGATGTGAAGAAAGAGATGAAGAACGAGATCAACGATGTGAAGAAAGAGATGAAGAACGAGATTGACGATGTGAAGAAAGAAATTGGATCGAAGCTGGACTTGGTTCTCCAAGTCCTAGCCCAAGCAGTCATTAGACATGTCACAGCAATTATAGAGGAATTAAAGCAGGAAAAAGTGGCACTGTCTATTTTGATTTCGACTTAATGTTCAAGACTTGCGAAAACTGGATTCCTTTATCTTATTGTCCCATCACGATTGAATTGTAGTAAGCAAACGATGTTTTAAAGCCAATTGCCAATAGAACTGGACTTGTTCCTGCTTCAAATACGCGTATTACGTGGTCAGTTACAAAACCATTATTAAAATGTAATGTGTATACTCTTGATGATAGAAAAATGCCGAGTGTGTCAGAGTGGTAGCAACTGGTTCTCTTCCTATTACTTTTGAAACTGAAACCTTACAAGAACAAACAGCCTCAACATCAAGCGAAACATTCTCAACAATTGTTCGTAACGCAGCTACACTAAACAAACTGTATATTTGTTTTTCAAATGCCGCTCAAAGAGGTTATGTTGGTAGTTCTGGTGAATTACTGAAAGAATTATTGCAACTTTCTGTATCATCCACTTGCACACGTAACCAACGAGAAGGAATACTATCACCCAGAACACGATTTATCGGCTACTTTGGTAATCGGAAATCAAGTTATGCCGTCGCAGGAGGTGCAGGGCATTAGAGAAGCCTACCTCCATCTTATGCATTGCGCTGATAAACCGTTTTAGTTAGTGCGGAAGATTGCAGGTCTCAATTGTTTTGTGTATGGATGGACTGTGCAAATGTTAGAGAGTGCTAATTATACAGGTATGAACCTGAAAAATAATTCGAATATGGGGCAAATAAAGGCGATGGCCGGTTCAACCTTGTATACTGATAGTAAAATGGGGAAGAGACTTTACATTTTAACGTTTCACAACACTATTCTTGAAATGCGTTGAAATATTGTAACATTCTATGATTACTTCAGAATATGATGTTATTAATTGCTATTTAATACTTAACATTATGCGTTTAACACTATTCAATTCAACAGATTATATTGGTAATAGTTATAGTCGCATCAGCGGTAATTCACTATTTAATTTAGATGATATTTACACAAAACAGGATGACGTTTCACCCGCTATTGACGCATACACTAAGAGCAAGACAGATGCTTTATCAGTTCCTATTAAGAACATGTTGCTAATGTTCCAAGCATGACATTCTTAAATAGTACATCAACAGCAACATTAAAAGAACATTTACACCAACATGCAACCATCACAACTAATTGTAACAACACTAGTGCGTATGGTCTTACTATTTCGTCAATGCTACCAACCATACGTTCTAATACAATGAAATTAGATGCTATTAGGAATAATATTTTACCAAATTCATTTTTAATGAATGATTTAAGTTGTACTGTATCAACTAGTATTGATAATATTTTATCAACTTCTCATTTAATGTCTCAATTACAATCAGGTTCATTTGAGGCGTCATAATATCATAACAAAACATCAACTATATTTTTGGATAACACGTTAGATACATCATTTGCAACACAATAATTCACAACATAGCAACCACAGCGACAGTAAAAATAGCAGAATTTGGAAAATGCATTTTTTTGAGATGTATAACATGTTTTGATAGTTATATTTACGGTAGTCAATTAAGAACAGCTATGTATTTAAACCAGCAAGGTTATGGCGATGTAGAAATTAATGGTAGTGCCAGTTTTCAAGATGATACAATACTGTTAAAATACAACACAGAAGTATTGGCTAATTTGCAGGTAAGCGGTGTATTTTCTTGTTCGTCTATTTTGGGTTTTACAGGTTCTCATGTTCGTTATGTTTTACAGTCGGATCATTTAGCGGGATTAATTTCAGGTAATACAAATACAGTTGATTCAATAATTACTACGAATAATTCTGAGGATATATCCATTAGGTCAACAGTTAGACAAGATTAATCCTAGTTCTATACAATCAATAGCAAATGATGTTAATGTTAGTAGTGCTTCAACTTTCCAAGACACTACTACAGTGATTACTGGCAATACTTCATTTTGTAATAGATATAGGGCACCGAAATGGATTACATATTCAATTGGTAAGGTTTAACAGAGAAACAATTCAACACTAATAGAGATGGTAGAATGTGGATGAGTAGTGCCGGAGGCCAGTGGGAAACTCAAATAGGAGATGCCAATGTTGGTCGTGTGTGGGTCAAGGACAGATTTGGTTTAGGTTGTGTGGTTCGAAGAGTATCCAACTATTCTTGGTGAGCGTTGTTGAAAGGGACACCAACACAGAATCCTGCCGGCTCCTTTGGGTGAGTTGACGCTTTTCAGTTGGAGCTATAGTTGGAATTCTGGTTCCCCAAGGTCTGGTTTGGATTGGTGGTTATGGGGAGTTGAATCGCTGATTCAAGAGGATAGGATGGTGTTTCCTACGCCGGGCACGGCCGGAATTCAAGCGAAGCCGACGTTTGCGCTCGGAGATGCCCCCGAGCGCACAGGATCATCGGTGGAATGGGCTTGAAAGAGTCCCGCGCGTCTCGGCGTAGTCATCGCACTGGTCCCAAAAGCCTGGGTTGGTCGCATCACTTGTTGAACCGTGGCCGCCGAAGGGGAACCAATTAGACATGTCTAAACAGGAGTTCCATTGACAGCCGGGAATGCGGGTCGAACAGCGGGTCGAACCGGCGGGGGGACGTGGCCGGACTTGTCTTCGCTTTATCGTTTGGAGGTTTGGGGATGTTTTCCCATTTACCCTCTACAAGAACCAGGGTCCAAATCCATTAAGGGGTACAAGATTCTCGGTCTTCTTCCTTTTCCTTTCAATCAGCGAAACGTCGCCTTCGGGATCTGAGTCCAACCCAGAAACTTGGGAACTAGCCTCCCTGCTGCTTGTCGAATTTTGAGGGGTCAACGCATCCCTGGCCAGAGGCATTTGGGGTGGCTCGGGATTGGCTGTACCGAGACGCAAAGGAGCTCTGAGCAGATGGGAGCTTTCCAGGCAAAGGTAGGAGGTTTCCAAGCACAGATGAAAGGTTTCCAGGCACAGATGCGAGGTTTGAAAGCACGGATGTGTGAGCAAAAACCGAGGACATATGGGTGCTGGTCAAGGTTTCTTCAGGATTTGCGACTCCCTGAGAATGGCTTCGGCTTTCCTTTTGGTTTCCCGGAAAAACAACAACCTGAAAGGTAGCACACACCCAGAAGAACCCAGGCCTCTTCAAGGGTTGGGCACGCGTTCTGTAAATTCTAACACGCAGGTCCACAGGGAATTTCAGCTCCCACCCGGTGATCGGTGCCCCCCAAAAACGAAAAGGAAGTCACGTCATACCTCGGGCCCTGGGGCGCTGTCTTTTCCTTGGACGTCAAAATTCCCTTTGGGCTTTGGGAGCTCCCGATGAAGCCATATGGCTTAGCCGAAGCGTCGCTTTCCCACGGCCCTGAGGAGTGGGACGAGGGAGTTCCAGAGGAAGCGGAGAGCGCATTCAGCTGGAGGACTTTTGGTACCGGGATGTTGTCCGGTATGCACCTCGACCACATCAGCTGGGAGCCGGTGGGGCCAACTTGCTTCACCGTTCTTGGCATGCTTGCTTGTTCCGTTGATTTTTAGTGGAGGGGGGAGCCTGCACAAACCATGTTTTTGGCTAACACACCAAGGTTTCGGAAGGTTGGTTCAAATATGAGTGTGCCAAGTTGGGTCAAGAAAGAAGCCCAGGGGCAAACGCAAGTGGCTTTTTTGAGAGGAACTTTCCTTTGGACTCATCTGGGAAGCCAAAGACAAACCCCGAAGATTCGCAGACTAGCACTCATTTGGTTCAGGGTGGGTTGTTTGAACAGGAACGTGTCCACTGTTGTGTTGAGCGGGTGTGCCCGCAGGACCTGCTTTTGGATGGCTTCTTTTACCGTGGAAAGCCATTTGGTGGCGGCTCCATAAGAGCCCTAAGACTTTGCCGTTGTCCCCCCCCAACAAACGTCCAATGCTTAGGGACGCACGTTTTGCTGTTTGGCGAAGCCGGTTAAAATTGCCCCCGAATCAACTTGGTGCCTGGTGGGTTCACAGGGATGTTTTGTCCAAAAGTGAAGGATTGTTACTAAAATGGCCCACCCCTTTTTAATCAACCAGGGGTTTCTTGATCCGGGGTCAATTTCAGTTCAAATTCGGCTAAGCTGGCAAATGTTCCCCGTTGATTCCTTGTTTGCTAGGTTGTAACTGTCTTGAGGTTGATGTCCCATTCCTTTCAACACTGTTGACACAGCATTTTACATTTTTTTGCCAAAAACGGCTGCTGGACACAAATCCCACCCAAATGAGGACCGTCAAACATTCCGGGACCCATTTCCTGGCTTCAGAAGGTTTGGAACTTACAGTCCTGATTGGAAGGAAACCAGAAACCCCTTGTAATAGAGGAATCTCCTTTGTGGCTTTGGACCCCTGTTTTTGGTTCCACTTCAATCTGGGGGGTTACAAAGGATGGTCTCGAAAAGATCGCCAAGTGGTTCCGAACTCTGCGTATACCCTATTGAGCGGAGACCAGCCGCCATGGGTTTGGTGGTTTGACCGGACCGTCCAAGTGCCGCATCGAATGTCGTTGGTCACTGAGGCACCCCGACGCGTTGCTGCTGTGCTTGCCAGCGCTCGCTCTACCGACCAGGGTGCTGGACTTAGTGCGCGCAGGGCTCACGACCGAGCTTCGGTCGCGCCCGTTTTGAAGCAGCGATTTCAGGTGTGGGGTTTGCCAAGTTACTCCCCTGCATCAAACCCAGAAAAGGGGGTCCGGGACACGAAAGCTGGCTCTAGAGAAAAATTGCTTCTTGGATTCCGTTTTAAGTTGTATGGAAGTGGCGAGTTCGGAACATGCAGCCGGCTATCTTGCTTTGTGTCCTGTTGTGGTCCTGTTTGAGTAATTAGCATGATCCACGGTCCGTGCTCAGGTGCCCTAAGTGATTGGCCAAGTTTTTCGAGTTGATTGGCAATGGTGCCCTAGGGTCAACGTGGTTAGCTTGGGGCCACTTCTGCTTCCTTCAACTCCATGGGAACATCAAAGTCATGTTTTTTGTTGGACAGGGTTTCCTAAGAAGTTCAAAGCGGTGTTTTTGGACCAACCGGGGGGACCAACCGGGGCCCCTCAAAGAAAGGCAGCCCGCCAACTGGCCAAGTAACCAGCCTCACCGGGCTGGTTCTACTTGGGCGGCAACTTCTCCATTGGTTGCGAAGATCCTTCCAGAAAGCCACCACGCCAGGGGATGCCAGGGAATTGGCTGATACTTGAGAATAATGATTGAACATGAACAGGAATCAACCCTCGAAGCAGAATAGGTGTTCACCCTCCATATGTAGGTGTCTTAAAGTTAGATTTGCATCTCGCAGAAGTTCAGCAGAAGGATACCTTTTCCCTGTGGAAAGTGGGGGGGGGGGAGGGGTGTGTGTGTATCCACTTTGCTATCTCGCAGGTCATCTACAACTATTTGGCGGCTCAAAGACTCTTAATTAAGTAAACCACAGGCAGCTTTTGTAAAGAGCGCGGGTCAATGGGATGAAGGCGCTGCGGGCTGGCAAGCGGCTTGATGGCTGCTCGAGGGTACCATTTGTGTGCCTTATGAATCATTTTACTGTAATTATGTGCCTTTGTTAGTCATTTCTATCTTACACGTTCCTTTTACATTATGATGTTTTGTGTCTTACCTTTTTCTGCCTATCCACAGTACAAGCCCCGAGCAAAAAGGGTGCCTCGACAAGTTTTGAGCGGTGGCACGCTTGGTGCTGCCCTCGGGCTGGGCGCCTGGCAGAGTGGGAAAGGAGGGCATGAAAACCTGCCAAACCAGCAGGTAATTATATGGGTATGGGTCCAAATTAAAAATCAGGGGAGCGCAGGTTTTGGTCCATGTTTCCACTTACTAGGGTTCCATTTGAGGTACCTATTTTTGACCCACAGCCATATCGCAATCAAGCGCAAAATATAAGCAAGCCATTGGGTTTCTGTTTGCAAACCAGGTTCTGACTTTTCACGAACTTCCAGGGGTTCTTCAGTTGAAAGCCCAATTGGCAACCCCCACATTTGTTGCAACCAACTACCCTCGCGTCCACCAACATTTCAACCTGACTAGGGAACCGGAAAACAAGCTTCCTCTAAAAGATCCCGGGTGTGTCTCTTGTTAAGGTGCCCAAGGCTTAGTAAACGATGGAAGTTCGACGTGCGAATCATACCCCCGAACCATACCACGAATCATACCACCGAACCATACCCCGAATCATACCCCCTTCACAACACCAGGTACTGCTGCTACTACTACTACTACTACTACTACTATTACTACTACTACGACTACCACTGCTACTACTAGGACTCCTACTACGGCTCTACTACTCCTTTCACCCGTACCACTACTACTACTACTACTACTACTACTACTACTGCTACTACTACCACTACTACTACTTCTGCTACTACTATGACTACTACTACTGGCAGCAGAGAAACTTTGCTTCCGAATCATACCCCGAATCATACCCGAACCATGCGTCAAATCATACCTTTTGCTTGTGCGAGTGAAATTGCGAGCACGCGCGCGGAGATTCTGGGCCTGCGAACCATCGGAGGCGGCGGTGGCGAGAGCGACTGGGCGACCGTCACGCCCACGAGGTCCATCTGCGCGTCGTTGAGTTGCGCGTCGAACATCTGCACCTCGCCGATCGCGCCGTAGAAGCCCTCGGCGAGCGCCGTGGTCTCCCACCACCCGACGCACAGCCTCCCTCGAGCCGCCGTCGCCCGCTCCCAGCAGCTCGGCGTCGGGCACGCGGTACCGCGAATCATGCCCCCAATCCAAACTTTCTGGCCCGAGCACCCTATTTTGAGACGGGCCCGAATGCAGGTGAGTTCTATGTTCGTGGAAGGGACGGTTGGGAAAGAGATAAATAGAAAAAGCTAATTACAAGGCAAGCATTAAGACGTAAGATAATGTAAACAAGATGACAGCAATTATTGAAACGAAGAAGAGAACCTATATATCATCATATGATACAAATATTCATAGCTTCTAGTTTTGGCAAATGGAAAAGCCTCTGGTTTTCTATCTCCATTTCTGTTTTGGTATTGGTGCTTGATTGGCTTGTTAATTTACAATTGGCTTTGCGTTAGGACATCGTAATCTGAAGGAACCGTGTGGGGAAAATGTGAAGGCGGCTATATCTTTATCGTATCTTCATTCTTTTTTCATGCTGTCATCACTATCTTTGCTATTTCTATTCCTACAGGTTAAATTATATTAGTTTGTGGTTTTCTTCACCCACCATCACCATCTCATTCTTCATTCCCTTTTCCCATCTCTACCTATCCTGCATGAATTTCCTGAGCATGTGTTGATTTTGAAGTCATGTGCCCAAGGATCAGAGCCATCGCTTGGAGTTGCATGTTTCCAAGGAACGCCCTTTGCTTGCGCCTTTGCATGGTGTGCCCGTAGGCTTTCCTGCCAAGGTGCTCGTACTCACCAACCTCGATCATTGGCAGCAACATTGCTGTCGCGTCAGAGGGTCGCACCATGGCGCACAACTTTGGTTGCGCAACAATCTCGGCATTTGAGCCATGCTCGTGGAGCGAGCCATGTATATGTGTCAGGGCAGCAGGGCTGCTATGCGTTGGCCTGGCGCCGCCAGCTTGACATATTGCCTGTCAGATTGTGCGGATTGCTGTTGTCTGCAGCGTTGTGGCGTTAACCCACATCCTGTGCTACGTCTACTGCATTCAGTATATGACACCGCTCTTCCCCCTGATGTTTTTTTGCCACCTGCGGTGCTTGCTGTGGACGACCCCAACCTGAAGGGTAAGGTGAAGAAGAAGTTCTACCATGACTCCGTGACCCAATCCATGGCGGCAGGTGGCAGGCGCGAGCGTGTCATCACCAAGACCATTAATCTGCACTGGCGGAGCTACAGGGCTTTGGTGTTCTACCTCCTGTCGCCTTCGTGCCCTGAGGCCCTCCGTCTCTCCGCCCCCGTCTGTGCTAAAGACGCCCTGTCTCCCAAGCGCATTCTTCCTGCATTCCTGCATCTGGAGACGGCCGCCTCTGTGAGCAAACTGGGTACCACCCAACACCATTTCCTTGATGAGCCGCTGCCTCTGTGTCATCATCAAGATCCTCTTGGGCGAGGAGGAAGGAGAAAAGCGAAGAGTCCTGCGGACTGCCGCCTAAAACAACCTAAGCCCACCCTAACACCCAACCAAAGCCCGCCCTAAGCCAAACCTAGCCTAAACATCTTTAAGCCTATTTTAAACAAGCCATAAATGCAACCCAGACCAACCCCACACCCACCCTGAACCAACCCGAAACCCAGAAGCCAACTAAGCTACCTAAATACACAATCCTAAGCCAACCGCAAAGCTAAACCAGCCCTAAGCAAACCACAAACATCTCCAATCCCAAACCGACCCCTAAACCAACCCAAAATTGGGACGTTTCTACATGTTGACAACACAATGAATCCTAGGTTCAGGGTTGAAAGTTTGCCAAGCCAGGTCATAGCGTTTACTGATCGCTAGGTTACCGTAGTTGGAGCAGCCTGTTGGCGGCTACTGACTATGCGTGACTGTTAGGGAGGTCAGGACGATGGGCCATGAACTTACCGTGGCCCTTACGGTTCTGCATCAATCTGGGTCTGCCTTTTTTGAGGAACCGCTTGTGGGTTGCTGGCTGCTAAGCAAAACAACACAAAAACCACCTTTGTGCCTTGACTCTGAACAAGTCGAGGGGCCTCTGTTGTACGGCTAGCAAAGTGCTGCACCGCGCGTGTGCGCGCTTGCCCACCGTGCCGTGGGAGCAAGGGGGGCACCCTTTCCCTTTCCAAAAAACAATGAGTGATTGGGAAGGCCAACCGAAGCTGAATCTCCAGGCCAAGAGAGGTTCCCCAAACCCCCAAAGCCCCAGAACCTCAAGGCCCCAAAACCTGTGGAACTTCAGCCCTCCTTTTTTTTTTGGTGTTAAGTGCATCGTTCTCCCCCGCTCAATTCCTTCGAGCGCTCTGAGTCGGCGGGCCTGATTTTCCTCACCTCCTTCGGCGCCGGCTCCATGCTGGCGATGGGCGGCTATAGCGCGGCCCTGCGGGCCGCATGCAAATCACTGGGCGCTTCGCCGGCAAACGAAAGGAGGGCTTCGGGTTTGAGGTTGGTTCTCTGGTTCCGCTGTTTACCGCCATGTGCCAGGGGTTTGTGGGAGGTGGTAGGTTCACTTTCCTGTTGGTTTGCAGGAAGTGCTAAGTGGCTACTATACCGGCTAACCGCAGCATTGGATTCTGAAAATCAAATTACCTCACGATTCTGGGAGAATCATGTTTTGTACTTATTTAGTCCCTTGAATTTATTTACGGAGCACCGAGTTTACTGTTCACTGACCAAGGGTTGAGCCTAACCCTGGGGGGGTCTTTGGGCTTACCTTTTCTTTGGACTCGTAAGCCAAAATGTGCAAGGGGCGGGTCGAGCAAACAGGCTGGATGGAAACAGCAGGGTCCCCGCCCCGTGTCATGTGAGGGATGCCTCTTTGTTTGCGTTTTGATTGGGTCTGTGCACTTCCATGTTGGGTAGGAGAACAGAAGGGTGAACAACGATGGCCCGTGCGAGACCTGGTCTGGTTGTCTGCCTCGTCTGCCTTGAGAGGAACATCCAGTTGGCTTAAACTAAGCCTCTAGCTGCTCCTACTACACGCACAAACCACAACAACTGCGCATACACGCCTCCAGTTTTGATCCATTCTATCTTCTTCCTCCTTGCGAGCCGGGGAGTGCGAACGTTGGAGCCTTTTTGAGGGTACTCGCCTGCGGAGCATAGAACACGGAGCCCACCAGTTCTGATCCCTTTGCGGTCGGAAATCACAAACCCGACCGTCGGGGGAACGGTTGCGTTCCAACATCTCTGAAAGCGTTGGCCGTTGTAGTACGGTTGTTCTACTGCCTGGGTGTCTCTTTTTTAGACCCTCAAAATGGTGGTTTGCATTTTGGTTTCTCTCTAATACTCACAAAAGGGGTACCCTCAAAGAAAGACAGGCCCACTTAGCTTCATGGGTTTATAGTAAGGCCTGTATACTCCTGCACAATGTTGGTAGACCCAACAGTGACTGGGTTGCGGGCTCCCGCTTCTCATTTGTTCAAACAACCTCTGTTTGGCTTCCACTAGGAACTCGACCGAATCAGGTCTGGAAAACAAGGGGCGAGTCTCTTATGAGCATGACTCAATTTGGTTTCAAGCTTTTCAGAACCCCTCATATTCCAGCTTTTATTTTCCAGCTCATATTCCAGCTGTTATTTTCCAGCTCATATTCCAGCTGCTCGTGTTTGGTTTGTTTCGCCTGTCAGATTTTGCCATCCGAATTGGGAGGTGAGCAAGCTGTGCGGCGCACCTCTTCCATCGCCTCGGCGCTGGCCATCGGTTTAGGGATCGCGATCTGCGTCTCCGCCGCGTGAGTTGCGAAAGGCTTGCGACGTCAAGTTGAATGGCCCTACGTTTGATCAGAAGATCCTGGAATAGTTCTGGGTGAATTATAACGCCCTCACACGACCTCACTTCAAATGGTGGTTTATGTGGGGAATAGCCCCCCAACCACCTTATTGCACCAACCTTGGTGAATATTATAATTCGCCCAGATAGTTGAATGTGGCATGAAATGGGGGTTGAACTCTGTGAAGGGCAGCTCGCATGGGAGCTGCCGCACATGTACCAACTACGTGGGGGGTTCGTGCCCAGAAGTTCCCTTGAACTAGGGCCCTAGCAAAAAGCAGCGTATAATGGGTATAGGGGCAGATGTCTGGGGACCTAGACTCTGGGAACAGGTCGAAATGGCATCCGTGTCACACATGGACCCTGAATTCTTCGACAATATATGATTTGAGGTGTCCTGTGATCACACATGATTACATCCTCTGGGGGGGCCCGAATGGGTATTTTGGGTATGCGTCAAACTAGGGGTACTCTAAAAGATGTAGTGTCCTTTTTGGATTTCCTTTTAACCAACCCCAAAAGGGAAGCCTCACAAAAGACACCCTGGTGTTCCCTGGTTGGCTGACCCAAGCGAACCTGACGTCTTCTGCTTCTGGACGCCTTTCCGGTCTCGGGCCATTCAACTTGATCCAGCCTGCGAAGCTCTCTCGGAGAGCGAGCCATCTCTCACGGCTGAGAGAATACGGTAAGCGTCGGGCGCGTTTGCCTTCAATTGCCAATGATTTAGTGGGACATATCGTGATCCCCAGCCCCGTGTGGCAAACTAGGCATAAGCCAGGGATGTGTAGCTGCAAGTCTAAGTGTAACTTTCGTTGGACATAGAACATTGTACTTAGTTTCAGGGATCAACCGCAGATGATGGTGATGTTTGAAATGCCGTGAGGGCCGCAGAATTGTTTGCAAGAGCGGGAAGGGATTTGGGACACTACTGGTTGGACCTGAGTGTCCGGCGTGAACAGAGAAGATGTGCACCCCTTCCGCGCCGTTTTGCTGAATTCGTTGAGCTTGGTCAATTAAACGGAGCTTCACAAATTTGGAGGCCCCTGACCGTGACCTGTGGGAGATTCATCCCGCAGGAATTGTAAGCCGATGATTTGTAGATGCGGCGCGCCGTCGTGGCGCATGTGCTTCCTTTTGTGCGAGGCATCCGATCGCATCCTTGCCACCGTACAAATTGAGCTGTCAGATTTGTCAGCTACAGCTCAGAGACACTCGTGTACAGCGAGCGGCCTCTGCCAGAATGCATAGTGGCAGTTGGCCTTCGACTTAAAAGCGCAGCGTGCAGGGTATGCGTCCATGTCCACGGATGAATCCTGTGGGCCTCTGGTAAGACTCCGTTGTGGTATGAACCCTTGCATGAGCCGGTGGTAGTTTCCCCTGGTGGTAACCCTTGTCAATGGTTGAAAAAATGGTGGGACAGAAACTGCTAGGCCTTGAAGACTAAAGAGAGACACAAAGGTTCTCAGAACCCTAGGCGCGCCTCTGAAAGGTTCCAACAAGCTTTGTCGCAGGGCTGGGATGGGCCTTTGGTTTCCTCCCCTTGCGCTGGAGAAAGGGGCAATGCATTCGTTGTCAAGAACAGGCGTCGGCCTTGCTTCCTTCGGCCTTGTTTTTGCGGATTTGTTGCTTCTTCTTTCATTGTGAGGCTTGGCTTTGCTTCAAAAGAAAGCTTTGCCCTTTTGATGTTCCTTCACTTTCGCTTCCAACCAGCGCGCCGTCCCTTTTTGGGCTCGGATCAATTTGTCCGGCTCAGCTTTTCGGGGCCCGTCCAAAAAGGTGTCGAGCCCCAGCTCTCGCCGCGCTCTGCAGGATGCTGCGGTGGTACAAGCACGAGTTCTTCACCTGGACAAATGCGCCCAGGTCGGGAGTCGGGACACGGGCTTTGACCGACAAGTGCCTTGCTACCAAGGTTTACATCCTTTTGCTTGAGAACAGTTTATTGTTTCCCCTTGCTGCTTTTTCATTATTTCCAGGGGGCTTGAGCAAATGGAAGTTTAAGTGGCCACGAATTTGGTGGGTTAAAACCGGGTGAATCTCACCACGCCGAGCAACCAAGTGCCGGCTTCGGCTTTGGGCTTTGCGTATCCAAAGCCCCACACAATAGCCACAAAGCAACATTTCGAGGCGACATGGCACAACATGCCGGAAACCACTGAAAGCCCCACCCAGAAACTCGGTGCGGATATCCGCCCTTTTCATTCTTTGCATGGCTTTTGGCAGACCGTCCTAATAGGTTTTGAGTATGACTCAATTAGAAGAGGCGTGTGCAAAGCTCACAACTCTAACCTCCAAATGGCAACCGTTTCATGGGTTCCACGTAGTTTCCTTTTCAAGCAGCGAGAAAACACATGTGGTCAATCCCACCCTTGCGCCTGGGATCGGGGCTGGTCATGAGTGAACTATGGCCTCACTTCGCCCCTGAGAAGTGGTTACTTGGATCGACCAACTCGGTAAATGGGTAATAGCAATGGCAACGCTGGAGGTTTGATCTTGTCGCTTCCTTGCAGCATTGCACTGCCCGGTGTGGGATTGTCCAGGGGTTGATTGGTTAAACAGACAAATCGCTGAGCCTGGACAATTTGTTCACCCAAAGAGCAATCACGTGTGTAATTGGGGCGGGGCGGTTGTGCAAATGGCCTGGTGTTGCCCAAGGTGCTGCCCTACTTCAAACTTGGCTGGTCTTTGCAAAACAAATGCCATGCCAATGTAAACCTAAAGGTGATCAACCTTTTGCTCAGGCGGCTTAGAGCATCCATTCAGGTTGTGTTTTTGTTTAAGTGGAGCCCCAACCCAAAAATACCCCAAGAAGAAAAAAAGGAGCCCCGTGATTTTTCCCAAACGCCGCCGCCAGGTGCGACTTTTGCCGTTCCACAGACACCAAGACCATCGGCGGCACAGAGCCGACCCCCGAGGATCGAGCGCCGATGTCGGCGACCCCCGAACCCCCCCCCCCCCCCCCAAAATAGCGCCGCCGCAAGGAGGAAACGCGGCCAAAGAAGGAGGCCAACGGCTTGGGGTCCTATAGGATCCTTTTTCAAGCGCTCCAACTCCGATTGATGCGTTCCTCCCAAAGGGGGATGGCTTAACTCAACGAATCAAAGGGCACTTCCTCTTCGTTTCCCCAAGTGCTCTCTGCTTCTGCGAGAGGGCCAAGCACTAACTTACAGTACCAGACAGTAAGGGCACGGAGCAGTGGGGTTCACTTGCAATATGCGGGGTGTCCTTTTTCGAGGGCGGCGTTCTGAAGAGGACAGCCCAGCACTGTGGGGATTTCTCCCAAAACGTTGAGCTGACATTGACCACAAAAAGGTATCACTTTTGGGACGGCGAGTGTGGCAATATTATAGTGAGAGAGGGGCCGGCTTACTTCTTGATGAAGGGACTACTCCCAAAAAATGTTCGGGACCCAAAAGGAGCTTTCCTCTCACCATCTTTTTGCATGGAGACTCATGAAGATGTTTCCAATTTTGGTATCACAGTGGGCCGAATCATTCCTGCTACGAACCATTCCGCATCTTGGCTCCGTGGCACCCAAGGATTCCACGGCTGAACCCCCAGGAAGCCCGGAATTGCGTCTGTTGCGACCAGAAGTATGGGGAACATGGGAGTAACGCAACGCCTCCATTTGGTTGCGTCATTTTTGGGCGGTACCCCAAATTGGGGCTGTTTGTAAGCGAAACAGAAGGAACCGCCATTGGGGTCCAAATTTTGTAAAAGGAAGCGTAGTGGTAAATGAAAGGGAACTACAAAAACCCGAAGTTCATTCTCTGAGAACCAGCAAGATAGGGTTTCCCACTTGTTACCTTGAAACACTTAGGGAATTGACCTGCCGCTGTTGCTGCTTTGCTTGGTTGCTTGTGGTTGGCGTTTTGTTCTTTTGCTGACTGGTTGAACTCAGCCAGTTTTCGGCTTCCCTCCAATTCGTGGTTTGGATTAGTGGTTCGGTGGTTGAGGAGGGGGGAGGAAGGGGCTTAAATTCCAAACCACCAGTCCAAACCAACCTGACGGGTTACCTGAACTTTGGGGACGGGCAAATGGAAGAGCACTTAACCACCCAACCACCCATCCAAATAGCCCACCTGACGGGTTGGTTTGAACCCTTGATTCTTGTAGATGTAAATGGGAAACAAGCCCTTAACCACCAAACCACCAAGCCACAATCACCAATTGGAGGGAAGCTGATCGGTGGACGGGCACTAGCGGTTGGTTCGGTCGTTCAAAAACGCGAGGAGCAGCACTTCCTCGCCTTCAAAGTGGAGGTGGCGAAGTGCAATGCCTGCGGCCAGCAGACCCGGTTCCCCCGCCGGGAGCCTTAGGGGGGGTGCCGGGGGGGGTGGGGCGGTTTGGGGGAGCCTTGGGGGTGGGGCGGATGCCCGGCTACGTCTTCCTAATGTCACCCTGGGATCAATCCGGGCCGCAATCAAAGGGTGGGTTCCTTTTTTATAGTAAGGACATGGATCTGTTTTTAGGGGGGCTCCTGTCGGATTGAACAAGCGAGGGTGACATTGTGACTACAGCTGGAAGGGTTCCAATTCCCTGGCCTTGGGATGCGAGCGCCGGATTTCCGCATTTTTGCATGCGTTTGGTTTACTCTGCGTTTATGACCGTGGTAACTGGGGTTACTTGGGAAGTTCAAACGTGATGTAGGTTCTGATTGTTATAACTGGATAACTTGGGTAGCTTGGGTTAGTCCCGTTGAAGCCCTAGAGCTCAAGCTGATTGAATATCCACATTGCTTTTGTTGCCGTGGTTCCGAAAGAAGAGAGGAGCTTAGTGGAAGCTCGGACACCTCTCAACAAATAATTTTCCTGTTGGTGCTATTGTTACGGTTGTTGCGATTGTTGGACACATGACCACCATTGGGGGTCCCCTATTTGTGGAACTGTTACACGGGAAATGTGGGTGTTTCTTAAATAGGAGACCCTCCAACTTGTACGACGCACACACACACACAAACACATGTACAATGCGTTTCTTTGCACACTTGTGCATGGTTGTGGGATATTCTAGTGGGTTATTAATAACACTCTCTTTGAGTGGCCGAAGGATCCCCTGCAAAGCGACCATGCAGTCACGTGCATGGGAATTCCACTGGGGTATCGCGGAAAGGTTTTGCATTTGTATTTGTGCATACGTAGAACCCCTCTTCGCAGATGTAGCAGCCCTCTCATCAAGTCTGGGAGCCACCGACTCGTATCCGGCGAAACGAGGCTACAACGATCCTGCCAAGCTGCTGGAAACTCGCACTGGCCGCTGCGGCGAGTGGGCCAATTGCTTCACGCTGCTTTGCCGTGCTCTGGGCTTCTCGGCCTGACCAGGCGGAAATGGCAAATCGGGATCACCCCAAGTCCACTCTTTGGCCTTAGTTTGCCGCACTTGGCTTTATTTTGTTTGTTTTGCAGAATTGGCCTCATTTGGCTTCATTCGGCATTATTTTGCCTATTTGGGCCTTGCTTGGCCTTATTTGCCATGGTTGGCATCCTTGTGGCATTGTTTGAGCTTGTTCTGCCGTTTCTGTTTGACCAATTTGACCCCGTTCAAACTCCACACTGAGAGTGTTTTTCAGGGATCCCCGTTTTGGCGGGTGTTAAAGGGAACGGGGGCTTTTGGATGGTTTCCAGAAGGGGGCAAAAAAGCCGCAACCGAAGCTGATTGAATGATGCTTAGCAGTGGACAGTCTCAACCATAAACAGGTGCGGCCGAAACCACCCATCGAGTCTTACAGGTCTTGGACACACTCCGGGCGCCCAGGTCTTGATCATGAGCAGCTGATATTTTGCTCTCTTGTTGAACATGGGGGAGGGGCCAACAGAAATCCTTTTGGGGCAACAGGTGACGCTTTGCCTGGGTCATATGGCGTGACAAGGAAGCCAGATTCCGACGACGTGCCGTCCTTCTCCTCAAGGACTCACCACATTTAAGGAACCATTTTCGGGGTTGCCCCTTTTGGAGACAAACCTAAATACACCCAAGGAGTATCCCCGACATCCCAGAAAAGCTCCCAGGAACTTTTCTGTGAAACTCCCGGATGGTTTCTGTCCAGCTGTCGCTCTTGGGAAATAACACCTGAAGCCCATAGCTGCCTAAACCTACACCCGCACAGTAAAACGCTAGCAACCCTAAGCTCACCTTAAACTTAACCCTAACCGCAAAGCCTACAACCCTAGACTACCAAAGACCCTAACCCCACAAGCCCTCAACCCTAAACCTCAAACACAAGATCCAAACCTGAATCCTAAGATCCAAACCTCAAGCCCCAACAAGCCCCTCATCGTCCCTAAACCTAAGCCCCTGACCGATGGTCGGCGAGACTGGCCAGCCCGCCATTTCCGCGGCCCATCCCAGCTCCTTCGACCCAGCCCCAGCCCAGTTCACAAGACAGCAGCAAAAGCTGTGGAAATGGCACGATTTATTTCTATCAGATGGAGCACACGGGAAACTCATACAAAATAAATTGGGAAGATCCCGAACAAAGTCTGGACCCCCTGAAAAGACGTTTTTGGGGTTCAAGCCGCTTGGTAACTCGGTTGTAACCGTGTACAAGGGGACTAACCCCCAGTTTACCCAGTTCTAACCATGGTTACAACCTGCTAAGGTCGAACATCTGTGGGTTTTGTCAGGAGGACAAATCCTTCGAGTCCCTTTCGGTTTCCCTTCCAGGGCCATCGAAAGGAGAGCGACAAAGCCGGTGGCTTCTTTTTGCCGGGGATCGGATCCCCAGGTTCCTTTTGGTTTCGATGCTCCAAACGGCACACCCATCGAGGTTACGAAGCCCGCCACGTGCACGACTGGACGGACCACGTGTGGACGGAGGTCTTCTCAGACTCCGAGCAGTGTCTCGCTCGGCCAAAAAGGGACACTCAAACGGCCTTGATGTTGGCTGGTTGCAAAGGGAAGCTCAAGGGACACCGAAGCCCATTTTTGGGACTCCCTATGTTGAGACACGCCCGTTCATGGGGGTCTATTTTTTTCTTTTGGGAGATCCCCCGCCCTAAAAATGGAGGGGCGGCTCTGAACTCAGGGTCAGCTGGATGTTTTGGCTTTGGAGTCGATGGAGTGGGGGAGGGTGGCCTTTTTTGGGAAGACGGCAAGATTCTGGACGCCCCCTAGCTCCTCATCCTCCTGAAGGTGGGGACGATCTTTGGGAGGAACTCGAACTGGGTAAGTGTTCAGAAACAAACGAGGCTTAATATGTCCCGCCTTCAGTTGACATGCCGGGCCTTTTAACGCTTGCTTACTTTTGCACGGGCATGGAAGGCCAACCACGACTCGATTTGCACTTGTCTCAAAAATAGGGACGCTCCAAAGATTGTGTTTTTTCCTTTGCTGTGCCTTTTGTATTAAAACAGCCGGAAAGAAGACCCAAGTTGGTCCATTAGGGCGTTTCTTCTTTTGAGGGGCCCTCTTGTTGGCTGGTTTCAAAGGACAACCCCACATTTTGTCCAGGATGTAACCGAGCTCCAACATTGCTTGATTTTTGGAGTAGACTACTCTGGGCGTCTCTTTTTTAAGGGACACCCAAAGGACAGATCCCCGACCTTGGGGGTTCCCCAGTTTTGAGACACATCCATAGAATCTGATCATTTTGGGAGGTGCACCTCCTTTTGCCTCGTCGACATTCCCGGATAGGAGCTGGTGGGTTCCAGATTGAGGATGCCTGTTTTTTTTTGTTCAAGTGAACATTTCCCTCGACTTGTCAATTTACATGTTTGGGGCCCGGGTAAGGGCCGGGGTCGATTTGCACCAGAGGTGTCTGTTCTTATTTCCAGGTCCCAAAGCTTTGGGTGCTTTCGAGGCGATGGATTCACCTGGACTCCTGCGAAGCGGCCTTCGACTCACCCTTGATGTACGAGCTCCATGGCAGAAGGTGGCTTCAAGTGGTCCCCCAAAAGGAGGATTTCCTTCACAAATGGATGGGTGTCTTCAATTTGCTTAAACATATTTTGATTTTCCCTCGTTGGTTTTAAAGTGAATCTATCACTACTGGACATATTTGTATTTTTGTTCGGGGGCCGAAGCAAACGGAAGACCTGTTGAGGGGGGGCAACCACCTGGCTTGCCAGGGATTTATGCTGAGGAAGGGCTGGGGCAAGAAGCTGACCTACTGCATCGGCTTCGCCCGGGACCATGTGACGGACGTGACTAGAAGGTACACACAGAAGTTCGAGGAGAGCTCGAGACCCCACAGGGTTTGCTTCAATGGCTTTAAACATGACTCAAGGACCTACGGGGCTGCCCAAATCAGGGGCCCTTTTTGGTAGGAACTTTACAAAGGCACTAGGGTCCAAAAAGGGGGCCGTCTCGCAGATACTCAGCAGAGGCCGCACCTGTTAGCGAATGAGCGGTTCGCCAACAAGACAGGACCCTGTTCAAGAAAAGCTCAAAGCGCATAGTGTTTCAAGACGGGTGTGTCTAGGTAGAGCTTCCCCAAATGAACACATGATTTATGTGAAGGACGTTCAATTAAGAACGGTCAATATGAACTGCCATCTACTGATGACATATGGAACGCTCACCAAATTACAACTAGGCATTTCACCAAACTCTCATATAAAGGTGGGGGAGACGGCATTTGCTGAATATTCTGCTGTACCAATGGCATTTTATGAGCTCCAGATGGCTTCGCGCTTCGCGCTGCCTCCCCAGAAGCCGATGCCCCTTTTCCCTCCCCGGCCCGTAGGCAAGCTGGTAGCAACATACCCTTCGAGCATACCGCCAACCCCCCTGTGAGGATTCCTTTCGAGGGTTGCTGGAACAGGGTTTTCAACTTGTTCCCTAAGAAACACGAGCTTCGGACTTGCACAAATTGCACCCAAATGAAAACAACATACAAAAGCAAGTCTTCAAATAGTTTCCTACTTGCTGTCCTAAGCCCCCCTTTTGATTTCCTTGAGGCTTCCCTTTAAAACGACACTAAAACGGGTACCCTCAGAAAAGAACTCAAAAAGGGTACCCTCCGTATTACCCTAAAAAGGGTACCCTTAAAGGATACATTTGCATCTGTTGCTCCGGCATGCAAAATTCCTAAAGCCGGAGACGCCCAACCCCCCAAAATCGCAAAATCGCCAAATCGCGCCGCGAGGAGCTCTTGACGCGGCGCACGGCCTGCACGGAGCAGGAATGGGGGGAGTCCCGCCGCCAAAAATGGGTCCAACTGCTCACTTGGCCAACCAACATGGGTGGTCTGAATGCTCACTTGCCCAAGGCGAATCTCGACCTTTAGTTTCCCGATTTTTGGCGGCCATGGTGGTGGTCATCCCAACAGCTCAAGCGTGCATTTCTGGGTCCCGAAAGGGTGACTGAGAATGGATTGCCAAAGAAACGGCTTGATTAAAAGACCAAAACTACTAAGCGAGCCCAAACTGGTGACAACTTTCAATGAGCCGAGGGATCCGAGTCTCAGAGAAGCTTGCCCCAGGGCGGAACAAAGGGGGGTCGAACGGCCTTTTCTCTACCATGCAGGGGGAAAAGGGTCCCCCCAGCTTTGTAGGTGAAAAAGAGAAAGCCATGTTGAGGAGACCGAAATAAACCCCCAAGTCCGCAGGTGTTTGACGCTGTGCAATTCCCGTGGGACAAAGGTAGCGCTTGACTGGCTGGCGCATGCTGCAATGGACATGAAGAGTTGGCTTGAATCGTTCCAAAACCCTTCCAACGCCTTTGGATTCTTTCAGTCGCACCTTTGCCTCCGCGGGCTTCCGATACCTACCTGCACCCCAGGATCAATGATGAGTTCCACCCTTAACCCACCCCCAAACCGCTGCCCCAGGGCAAACACGGGGTTCTACCCTTTACATAGTATCCCATGAACCCCCTGGGGGTAGTGGACACCATCTAAGGACCGATTCCTTTCTTCCGCCTTGGACCTACATGGGCCAAGGCGGACGCAAGTTGCATCGCTCCGTTGCGTCAGGACCTCAGCCGCACCGTGGCGGCGCTCTCGGAGTTTGCCTTGGACCGCTCCGTGTCCCAGCGCCTCAGCACGAGAATCGGAGGGTTTCAAGTGGCACCAGCCCCAGGGCACCAGCTCCCCCGGGCCAAAAAAAACAAACAAACAAAAAACGCGAAGCCCCTGGATTTTTCATGGTGCAGAAAGTCACCATGGTCTCGTGTGAGGTCTCTTTGTTCGAGAATGAATGATTTTCCCAGACCCCTGCAGAGCCAGTTGGCATTTTCTTACCAAAGGGTGGCGTAGTTCAAGGGCACCCCCCCCTCAGAACCCTCTCATAGCCTTCGATTCTTTGGGCAGCAAGTTTCAACGGGACCGCCCTTCTTGTGACTCCATCGCTTCTGGCAGTTTTCGTTTTGCTTGAAACGAGCATAAGCTCGGGGCACCCGCTGAAAGAAGGGCCAGCGTCGAGAATTTGCGAGTCTTGTTTGAGCTCAGTCGCTCGGCAAGGATTTTTTTTGGAATGATCGTTCGTTCACTAATGGTGCCAACTGATTAGTAAACCCCCCCCCCCCCCCTTCAAGGTCGACAAGGTTTGGGAGGGGCAACATTTTGGGGCTCTTTTAGGGGACCCCCCCTAATAATTTCTTGAGGGGGAATGTTTGGGGCAAGTCTGCTGGAGCTGTTTAAAGGGGAGCCCTTTTCAAAAGCACAGAAGCACCATTGTTTTTGTGGGCAAGGGGCTGGGAACACCCTGATTAATCAGGGGGGGTTTTGGTTATTATGGGGGGGCTGGCCCTTGAAGGGGGGTGTCCTTTGTGACCTTGAAAAACATGTTTTTTGAAACAAGGACATGTAAAGAAATCTATGGTTTGGTGGCCCTGTTTTTTTGCAGAAACCAGGAATGTTTGGGGCAAGTCTGCTGGAGCTGTTTAAAGGGGAGCCCTTTTCAAAAGCACAGAAGCACCATTGTTTTTGTGGGCAAGGGGCTGGGAACACCCTGATTAATCAGGGGGGGTTTTGGTTATTATGGGGGGGCTGGCCCTTGAAGGGGGGTGTCCTTTGTGACCTTGAAAAACATGTTTTTTGAAACAAGGACATGTAAAGAAATCTATGGTTTGGTGGCCCTGTTTTTTTGCAGAAACCAGGAATGTTTGGGGCAAGTCTGCTGGAGCTGTTTAAAGGGGAGCCCTTTTCAAAAGCACAGAAGCACCATTGTTTTTGTGGGCAAGGGGCTGGGAACACCCTGATTAATCAGGGGGGGTTTTGGTTATTATGGGGGGGCTGGCCCTTGAAGGGGGGTGTCCTTTGTGACCTTGAAAAACATGTTTTTTGAAACAAGGACATGTAAAGAAATCTATGGTTTGGTGGCCCTGTTTTTTTGCTGAGAGAAAAATAGTTGCTGCTTTGTTTGCTTGCTTTTTTTGGGCAAGGTGTGGGGCGGGGGGACCTTTAATCGGGGGGGGTTTTGGGGAGAGCTCAAAAATTATTGGGTAGGGTTTTTTGGGAGAATCTTGCTGGCCCTTTACTTTAGTGTTGGTTGGAACCTGGGGGGGAAAAGGGGAAACCTTTAATCGGGGGGGGTTTACTAATCGTCTGCTACCATTAGTTGGAGCGACCAGCGCCATCAAAACCAGGATGGTACGTCGCCACTATGGCACCGCCGTTTTCGATCATGGCTTAAAACAATCAAGGGTTCTCCCATGGTGTCCCTTTCAACCACTCCCAGGGGCTTCCTCAAAGAAAGTCACTCAAGTGGACTAGCGGCCCCCAAATGGCTGCCCAAAGTGGCCGAAAGGAGGTCAATACACATACTATTTGATAGCCCTTGAAGAAGAAAACCCAAATCTCCTTGGAACAAAAAGGGTTCACTCAACAAAAAAGGGGCTTCAACTCCTTGGCCCTCCTCCCCTCGAAGAAGAGAGAACCTGAAGCCCCTTGGAACACCACTGGCCTCCCCGCCTCCGCCGGGCCCCGCCTCCTCGCCCTCGCCGCTTGGAGGCTGCCGGCAGCGGCCGCGGAGGCGCGGCGCGCGCAGCTGGCGTCGCGGGGCGCGGCGGAGCAGACGCAGCTGGCGGCCGCCCAAAGCGGCGCCAAGGCGGAGGAGGAGGAGCGCGGGGGGGGGGGGGGGGAGGGGTGGTGGGGGGTGGATGGGGGGTGAGTTTTCCCACATTCTGCTTCGATCAACATTTTCGTTGTTCCAACTTTCAAATTGAAGGGGTAAACTGGGGGACACGAATGTGTGGTCAACTTTTCGCAGTTGCCACAGATAGGTTTCAGAAGTATAGTAAGTTCCCCAGCAGGATAGAATGGGATGGCATGGCACGGGCTGGGACGGGATGGGTTGGGACGGGATGGGAAGGGCGGGGTGGATGGGCGGGTTGGGGACCCCCAGTCTTCTGCTTGCGAGAAGCGGAATGATTCTTGTTGCAGGTGGGGCGGACGAGTGGGGACGCTGCTTGGCGAGAGCAACGGGGCGAGCTTGGCGCGAACAGCGCAGCCAAGCAGAAGGCCGAAGGGTCGATGGGTAGCGGATTCCTTTTGGCCTTCCTAAAGCCCCACAGGCAATTTTAGTGGTTTGGTTCCGGAACCAACAACGTCAACTTTAGATTGTTGAATCGATTCAATATTAGTACGGAATGGGAGTCAATGGTTGATGAATAGGGGGAACAACTCATTTAGAGGGGATCTTTCACTTTTAAGGTGCCAATGTGTTATGCCAGTACTTGTACCGTATGCTTGCGCTAAATGGATGAGTAGCCATTTACACGTGTACATATATATATATATACGCATATACTGGTATATGTGCATCTATATGTACTTTAGAGCCTCCGGCTCAGTCCGCCGACATTGTCCTCTCCCTGTTCTCCTTCTTCCTCTCTCTCTTGTCTCCTCCCCAGTGTGTTCCGTCGTCCTCTCTCCCTCCCTTTGCTCCCCATCCTCCCCATCCCCCGAGGCCCCTCTCTCCTCAATCTCCCTCTCTCTCTCTCTGTCTTTCTCTCTCTCTCTCTCTCTCTCTCTCTCTCCCTCTCTCTGTCTTTCTCCATTCCTTTCAACTCCCCCTTCATGTCCCTGTCATTTTTTTGGTATGTCCGCTTCATTTTCCATGTATGTCCCGTTCTTTCGTTGCAAGACATTTCCCTACATCTCCCGTCGTGTCGATTGGTTTCCTTGTCCTTTGTTTCCATTTCATTCCCCCTGCACTCCCCTTGTTTTCATTTCTGTCCCGTTTACGTCCCTTTCAGTTCCCCTTTGTTTCCCTTTAATTTCCCCTTGCTTTCCCGTCATGTCGACTTCCTATTTCCTCCCCTCATTTCCTTGCACTTCCTTGCATTTCCCCTTTGCTCCCCAGTATTTGCCCGCAAAAAAACGCGGTTTTCCAGCGTTTTCGCAAAGAGGACGCAAAAAAAAACAGAGTTTTTCCAGATTTTCGGCAAAAGGAGGCAGGAAACCCAAACCAGCAAAGAGCCGGCAGGGGGATTCGAGCCTGGGACTCTTGTTTTGCAACACGGATAAATGTTCCAGGTTCTAGAAGTGTTTGTTTAGGGTTAGTTGAGGGTTGATTAGTTTAGAGTGAGCTTGCACCATGTCTCCCTCCCTTCAAAGATCTGGGAGTGGGTAAATCAAACGAGTAAAGAGCAACATGTGAAGGTTGGATGGCGGGTCGGATTTTTGAACATCAAGCATCACTCGCCTTATGCTCGCAGGGTTTTGTTAGTTGTGTGTTGTTTTGACATATGAATGTTTCTGAAAACGAGGGACCCATTTTATGGCTTGTGTCCTTTTTCAAACCCCTCCAAAAAGGGGTCATGT